GAGGGCTCCTGTGACAGATTACCTCCCTGCTGCTGACCAGAAAATTCCAGACACGTCTGTGGGAGGTTGAAGCTGTAATTAGGTGAGGTATTAAGCCCCAGTTTGGTGACCTGACCCAGCAAGAATGACTCCATTTTGGGCCTGAGGTTTTCTTCTTCACAGGTCTCAGTTTCCTTGTGTGGACAGTGAGTTCATGATGATGATGAGAAGGTAAAGACGAAGACCGGCAACAGGGAGTGTTTGTTGGGTACTTGCTCTGTGCCAGACATTCCAGGTGCTTCAGGCTCATTTTCTCATTTAATCTCCATGACTTCCTCATGAAGGAGGCACCACTTCTGCGCCCATTTTACAAATGAGGACAGTGAGGTGTAGACATGAGTTACTGCCAACATCATGCAGCTAGGATTTTAAGGTCAAATTAAGATCCAAACCGTGATTTTTTTTTGTACTCCTTTGTAATGACAATACTATTCCTGGAAGCAACCAAGGCCTGACTTTCTGTATCTCTCTGTCATTTAACTATTTAAGGTTTTTGGAGGGGGATCCACTTTTCATTTCCTTGAAGCCTTGAGCTCACTTGGCACTGAGGACAGAGAGGTTATTTCTCACACTGGCAGACAGAGGGGAGTGGGTGGGCAGCCTGATCACAGTCCCCTCCTTGCCAGAAATCCCTGCACGCTGAATCAGGGGAGAGATCACCTGGTTGCTGCCCTACCAGTGAGGCCCATCTTCCCAGTGGCGGCTCTGGCCTCCCTTGCCCACACAGACTCCCCCCCAGCCCATCTCTGCATGAGCCCTTCCCCTACCAGAGTGTTCTACCGCTCCCCAACCGCTCCGGCCTCACCTGGGACACATCTCTTCTCGTCTCCTATATGAACTCAGAGATCTAGAGTTCTCTGATGGTACTTCCTTGTCAGTGTGTGTGTGTGTGTGTGTGTGTGTGTGTGTGTGTGTGTGTGTGTGTCTGACAGTGTGTGAAATAGCTTTACTGAGATAATTTACATACCACACAATTCGTCTATTTAAAGTCTACAAATCAATGGCTTTTAGTATATTTACAGAGCTGCACACTATTGTTGGACTCTATTTTACAACACCTTTATCACTTCAAAAAGAAACCCCTTCAACTATCCCCTTTAGCTCCCAGCCACTTAGCCCCCCACAGCCATAAGCCACTGTTTATCTACTTTCTGTCTGTCTCTTAAGTTTTAATTTATGGAACAGACAGGTGAGGAGTTACGTGAGAACCTCTTCTCTTACAGTGAGCACTATGGTAATTTTAATGTGCTCGTGAACTGCCCACAGTAGAGGGACTCCCCAAAGAGTCAGCTCATTCCGATGGAGGAGGCTCCAATGTGTGAGCACTGGGAAGTCAGAGGTCACTTGGCCACTCACTGCAGAAGGCAAAAGCCCCTGCCACTCCCTGTGTGCCTCATACTGGAGGACCCAAGGAGATACCTCTTTTCCCCAAAGTACTGTGCCATTAAGAAGTGAAAGGGTATTGCCAAAAAGCCAGTTACAGCACAGACTCAGGGGCTTCTGGGAAGAATCAGAACTAAATCCTGCAATGTGAAAGCTGGAAGGAAGCTTGGAGCTCACTTAGTGCCTGTTTAGGTCCCATTTGATGGATCTGGGGACTGAGGGTCAGATAGGTTAAGACAGGACCAGCATCTGGCTATCTTTTCATCCTGGGCTTCCCATTCTTCCAGCAGAGCAAAAAGCAGTTAGTGAAGGTCAGCAGGGCCATAGGTGTTTGAAGGCCATCTCCAGAAGATGCACGCTGAACCTGGAGAAAAGGCACCGGTGTCCTGCGCTAGGAAACAAAGCACAAAGGCTGGGAGCATCTCCCCATAAAGCTCTTACCAGTTACAAAGGGAAAGTGGTGATGGATCTTACGGTGGAGAAACTCAGCCCGTTGCTTCAGTTCCTCAGATGGGACATGGAGGGCCAGTGGGCCCCAGAGGTGGTGCTCCAGAAGTGCCAGGCATCATTCCTGAGGCCCCTCAGCCAAGGGTCCCAAGCCCTAGAGTGGTCATGACAAAGATGGTGTGACTGGCTGAGGGTCAACTATAGATGAAAGGTTGTGCTCTTACTAAGTTTGTTGAGGACCCAAGGGGCAAAGAAAGGCTGTATAAAACTTTCATATTGAAGGAGACGAGATACAAGGTGTGATCCTGGATTGGGTTTTGAACCAGAAAGAAAAAAGTGACATTGTTGAGATTGTTGGAATTTGGCTGGGGTTCCTGGTTTGGGTGGTAGTGTTGAATCAAAGCTGGCTTCCTGATGGGATGACTGAACTGTGGTTCTGTAGGAGAGTGTCTTTGTTTTTGAGAAATACACATTGGGGTATACAGGAGTGATGAGGTTTACAGCTTAGTTCAAATAATTCAGGGAAGAAGTGTTGGAGATGGGAGAGAGGAGGAGGGAGCAAATGGCGTCAAGCTGGGGAATCCAGGTGCAAGGAACATGGTAGTTCTTGGCAGTGTCCTTGCAGCTTTTCTGTAAATGTGGGATTATTTCAAAAAATTTAAAAAAGGCAATCAGAAAGCCACCTCCCAACACACCAGTCCACACCAAGCTAAGAAAGCAGAAAACATTCCCAGGAGGCCATCTACCCCTTGTTGCTAGAAAAATTTCCCAACAAGGATTTTAAAAAGTTCTTATTGTCTAAAAATGTCTCTTATTTAAAGTCACTGGAGAAGAAAGTTCTCCTGAATAGTTTCAGGATCAAAAGAGCACTGGGAATTCTATTCTCTTGAGTACAGTGTCATGCAGGTTGTTTTGATATTAAAAATCCTCTGGGAGCCTAAGATAGGCAAATTGCGCATTCACTCAATATGAACATACTGAGCCCCATACTGTTCTACTGTGAGCTGTAGGATGGCCCAGGGAGGATCAGCCTGCCCGTGGGACCCATGTTAATGAGTAGTGATCACAGACAGAGGTGACAAATCACCCTGAGCGGTAAGCATGCTATTATTTAGAGCAACAACATAATGGAAGCAGTTGTTGTGGGACTTGTCAAGACTGAATAAGGGACATTGTAATTTATTAATAATCTCTTGTCTCCCAGACATAGCAGTGTGTATGTATGCATGTGTGTGTGTGTGTGTGTGAATGTGCGCACCTTTACTTACACCTGCACACACACACACACCTGTTACTTAGAGCACCCAGTACAGTATCTGTCCCATCTCTCTCCATTCCCACCCATTTGTGCTCTCTTCTGTAGTATAAGGAGCTGGAAATTTGAAAACTACATTGTCCACATTCCCTGTCCATTCAGTTCCTGTGCATGTCCACCAATGGCAGGCACCGTCAGGTGATTGGAGGGACACAGGAGAGAAAAAGACGTGTTGGCTTATTTCCCCTGGAAGTGGGGCAGTGGCATCAACGATAATGAAATTTGGACTTCCGGTCCTTGCTCAGGAGGTGTGGTTCCGATAACCACGGCAGTGGCGGGCCTTCAGCATCCTGAGGAGGAGAGCGTGGGCTCCTGGCTCCTGGCTCCAGCGGTGGCCCTCCGGCGTCCAGCTCCCAGGCATTGGCAGGCGTGGGCCCTGGCCTCCCACAGGGTGTGCTCAGTGCAGCAGTGGGGGCAGGGGCCACCTGGGGGCTCCTCGTGGGCTCTAGTTATTCTATTTTTCTCTCTGACTTCCAGCCTTAGAAGTGGCAGCAGATGCCTAACTTTATTCATCTCTGGGCAATCTTACTTTCTTCTTTTTTTTCTCAGCCCTTCCATATTTTGTAATCATTCCCTGTATTAAATTCCCTCTGTCTGAAACACCTGGAGTCATTTCTGGTTTGCAGGTTTTGAAGAAGAGATGGAAAATCCTGTTAGGCTTCTTGTCTTGACACCTTAATGATTACCAAATGGTTTGTAGCTGCAGGGGCAAGACAGTTTGGATGACGAACATCCGCTTTTGTTATTTCTCATCGTAAGAAATTAGTGGGGATGTAGAGAAGGCCTACAACATTTGTCTCCAATTGGCCTTACAATATTTGTTGCAATAAAACACTTTTTATTTCCACTGTCACCCAGGGCTGATTTCCATCCAGTCTCACAGCAGTGTTTCTTACCTTTCACAGGTATACTCATATATTAACAAGGCTTCTGTTACATTTTTCAAGAATTTCCTTTGGTTTATAATTTAGGTTTCAATCCTTTATTTCTCCTTAAAGTTTGCCTTTTCATTGATTTACTCATGCTCTCATATTTAACCATCTTATTCAGAAACAACAAAAAATGTATTGCTATAAATAGATGCTGTGATGAGCATGTAGTGGACCAGGCACTGTGTTAGAACCTGGAAATTCAGAGCCATGTAAACATGCTGCCCTCATTAGCCCACTATTTAGTGAGGCTGATGGACCAGTAGGCAGGCAATTCGTACGGTACGTGGTGTGAGGATGGCTACAATGAGGGGAGAGGCACCGGACCTTCCACTTTTTCTTTAAAAGGCATAGCCTTCATGCTCCCCATTTAAAAGGCCTCCATCATCCACTGTACCTCACATACATGGCAGCGTGGGTCTGGCCTGATGTATAACATAATTCAACAGATAATTAGCATAGGTAAAATGAAAATAAATAAAATCTGGGCACAATAGTTTTTCAAACAGGGTATGAGGTTCTGGGACTGACAGGCAACCTAAGAGCAGAATTTGTGGTGGCCTTCCTGTGACCAACATTTTCAGAGTAAAAGAATCAGACACGTGGGTCATTTCATCCCCTAAAAAGAAGTGAGCTTAGTATTGTTAGGTAACTGGTGCTTGGCAACAAGCAGTACCCACATAAAATATCTGTGAAGAGTCAGTTGTTGGTGTTTGCATCTCAAAATCCCTCAAAATCTTTTCTAAAATATCTATCATAGAAAATAGCCTTGGGTTCAACCCCTATGCAGAGTGAAGCTCAGGATCTGTTGCAGGAGTACCTTGCCCCCAGCAAAACCCTTGGGAGGATAGGATGAAAATAAAAGGACATGAGGCTTGATTCCTGCCCTCTGCAATTTATTATGAAGTTGGATAATGAAATGATCCATGTGGGACTATTAATTATGCCATTAAGTGCTTGGGATTATGTTACCAGCTTGAAATAATCTTTAATGGCCAGGAGAGAGCCAAGTGGCTGGAAGTTGGATGGAGAAGGTGGGCTTAGAGAAGCTCTGAGAGGGTGCACACGTGGAGAGGACAGGAGAAGGCATGGGACACTGGGAAGGAGGCACACAGGGGCTGGGTGTGTGCAGATCTGGCTGGGACTTCTGGACAAGGCTGGTGTTAGCAACAAATACTGCTGCAGTGACCAAGGGTTTCACAAAGATTACATGCGCAGAAGAGCCATAAGTCCCTTTTCTTAAGCAAAGAGCTTACTGTTTTGAGCAATGATTCCATGTCCTTCTGGAAGTGTTTCATTCTCCTGGGCTAAGGGTTTGGACAGGAAATGCAACCCTGATCTTGGCATGGTTCCACCAAGAAAGGGCAGGCTTGTGTTGAGATGATCCCACCTCCCATGGAGGCAAATTCTCTCTTCCCATCCTGGGACGCATCCTGTAATGGGACTTGGCCCATTATTTTCCCAGGAGCTTGTGCTGCTTCCAGACACCCCAGAATCTTCCAGAGGCTGAGGAATTTTAAGGAGGAGTGGGTTTCCATCTCCCTTTATCGGCTCTTTCCACCCAGGGGGCAGAATAGCCCAGGAGCCATGGGAATCAGCTGAGTGGGTTTCTTTACGGAGAGAGAGAACATATAGACACATTCATTACCTTGGTCCCATCATTTTTTTCTTCTTAAGTATAAAACTATAAATTCCTTGCATGTTAAAAGAAATATTTTATAAAAGCCAATTCTGGTCATTCAGAATGTCTAACCTGACTGTCAGTTTGATGGCAGAAACCTGGAAAGCGCTCTACTGGCCCACTGAAATGAAAGACACCCTTGGCTTTAATTTCCAAGGCCCTCAGAACCCTTGCTATGAACGCTTCAGCTAACACAGGCACACCCTGAGGATCTCAGGGTTGTCGGAATATCAAAAGATCTTTGATATTTTAATAAAACTGGCTTCCATTAGTCTCCTTGAAAAGGAAATCAAAATGAGCCCAAATCTCTGGACTGTACCTACCCATTTCTGCATGTATTAGTCAGGTGGGGCTGAGTTATGCTGCGGTAAACAAACCCCCAAATCTCATTGGCTTAAACCCCTCAAGGTTTGCTTCTCTTTTTCACTACACGTCCATTCTCAGTGGGCTGGGGCCCTTCTCCACACTAGTTTCACTCAGGGACCCGGGCAGCTAGAGTAAGCATCCTTCTCAGGCCTGCTGGTCCCCACGCCAGGTGTAAAGAGCTGCTTGGTGAATCACTACCATTCTCTAGATCTGTCTGGACATTACCGCCTCTGCGTGCATTCCTTTGGCTTGAGTCAGACAAGAAGCCACATCTAGCTCCAAGGGGACAGGACAGGCAGTTCTTCGTGTGCCTGGAAGGAGAAATGGGACTTTGGTGACTCCCAAACTGTGTGATCTCTGAAGGGTGGGGATGAACGGTGCTACAGTCTGGTTTCACGGCCTGGAAGCCAAAATGTCAGGGATATTCTCCCATTAGCTCTTGCTGTTAGGCAAATCATATAACTTCCAAGAGATATCATTTCCTTATCCTTTAAGTAGGGAGATGGGTAGGAAGAGGTGGTGAATGGAAAGGAATAACTATACCTGTAGGATCTAACTCATTGGAAAATTGAATGGATCAAAATTTGACAATGCTGGTGAAAGTCAAATCGGAAGGAAAGAGGGTTCTCATGCACAGCCACATTTGTTGGGATAAGGTTGCAGGTAACAGAAAATCCAACACAGCTGTGCTTAAATATGATAGACATTTGTTTCTTTCTCAGATAAAGAGCTGAGAGGCCCACAGGCCAGAATGGGTGTGACGGCTCTGCAGCTCCTAGGACCTTGGTTCCTGCACCTTGCTTCTTTGCCATCCACTGTTTCTCCCTGTTTTAGCCCAGGCTCCTTGGAAACCAGAGCTTGAGGCAAAAGCAAATGCACTCACATTTTATTGGAAAGTGCAACTCCTGGAAGCAAGAGGGAGGGGAAAAGGGAGGTGAGGCAGAGAAGGAGAGAGTGAAATACAGAGGGGCACGTGACCAAACTGGCCCAGCTTTAAGCAAATGCCGCCAATTGTTTGGTCTCATGGGATGTTTCCAGCAAGGCCTACTGGGACTGGGACCAGAAAATGCTGGGAGAAAGAAGGGAGAAGAATTTGTCTGCCCCTATAACCACCAGCTTTTATCTCCCAGTGGTTCATGTTGGCTTCACAGGGCATCAGGACCCACACACTACCAGGTGGTACCGTCTGGCATCTCCTAGGAGCTAAAGCCAAAACAGCAGCAGAATCATCTGAAGCACGAACCAGGGCACATGGAGTCAGCTGGTGAGAAAGTGTGAGTCAGAGGGCCCTCGACCTGCCCATCTCTGTGTACAGCCCACTGGGCCTGGCCTGGTAAGAGTGCACCTACTCTAGTGAGCAGGTCCCATGGTGTCTTGTTCCTCAGCAGCAACAGGGAAGCCCTGGGGCAGGAGGTAAGAGGCATGTGATGTGAGGTGTGAAGCAATGTGCTGTTGGGTGGTGCCTGCAGCAACATGAGGAGCCAGGAACATTTTCCATAATGTAAGCCAAGCGGGTGAAATGTCATGGCACCATAACTTCTGCATCAAGATGGCATGGAACTGAACCGGCCTCCTTTTAAAAATCTGAAACCCTTCTCACAGCTCTCATATTACAAAAATGTGGTTGGTGGCAGGAGATTCTCTCAGAGGATCATTAGTAGCATTGAGCAGAGAAACCGTGGTTAAACAAATCCTGGGAGGTATGTAAACTGGCTCTGATATATTTCATAGGCCAAAATGGTTGCATAAGCTCCAGCCATCATGTTCATATACCTACTAACAAGGAATATGGCAAGGAAAGTTTGCACATGATGTACCTGCTGATCTCTCTTTGGCCAGACCTTAGTCCTAGCATCATACTTAGATATAAATTACAGTCTTTATTTGGGGTGGTCTTATCCCCAGTTAAAAATAGGCAGAAAGGTAGAAAAGAATACTGGGGTCAACCGGTAGTTTGTGCCACAGCAGCCAAGGTTGAGAGGCCCTAAGTTAGCAAAGCAGAGTGTCCCTATTGTGTGCCCTCATTTCAAATAGGCGTGAGCAGGGATGTGGCAGAGGAAAGGAAGGAAAAGGGGATGGGTGAATGGTGAGGGAAAGGGGTATTCTAGGGGAAGACAGATATGTAGAAGAAGGGAAGAGCTGGGAAAGGTGGGAAATGAAGAAAGAGAAAGAGGGGCAAGAGGACCCACCAACCCTGGCTGGGCTCTTTCGGTTTCTATGGAAAACCCAGACCCTTTAATGGCAACAAATGACAACGTGTGTGAGGATGGGTTCTTGCCAGTGGCATACCTCTCTCCAGCAAGGGCTGCACAGGCCTCATGCTGACTTGTCCCACACCTCCTCGTCCCTTCACCCCTTGTCCTAAAGGCCTGGCCAGGTAGACACCCCACCCCTGTCTATCTTCTGCCTCCTTCCCCTCCACGCTTTTACAGAGGGAAGTCAGATGCCCTCCTTCTAGGGTTGCATAGTTCAGATTCACCCCATTAGCTTGGCATCAACTTTGGGATTTTCAGTGGCTTCCCTGCCCTCTGAAATGGCCCTTTTTGGTCTAAGAAACTTCTGGGGAGATGAAAATAGGATCCAGTCTGCAGCACATTAAGGCCAAACCAAGTAACTCTCCTCCCCTGGGGAGCTCGGGTGTCCTAGCAGAGTGGGGCCTTCAGAGACAGGGTTTGGTCAGGATGGGCAGGCTGAGCCTCCCCCATGCACATCACCACTGAGCAGGACTATGACGCAGAGAAGTTCCCTTCCCACCCAGCTGCGTCCCGAACTGAAACGAGCCAGGTGCTTCCCCAGACCTGTGTGAACTGAAAGCACTGCGTTTCCTCAGACAGCCTGGCCTCTTGCCTCGTGGCTGCCTCCTCCTCCAGCCCTGAGGAGGAGCCTGGCTCCACTGCATGTCTCAGCCCACCTGCTGCTTGCCTCAGCCTTGGTGCTCTCACAGCAGAAGCATCCACTCACCCGACACATGTCCTGGGTGCGTGGGTACCAGGACAGGATACCGGGCTGTTGGGTGGGAATCGGTAAGAGGCTTGCTCACCTGCAAACGGGAGGTGGCTTTGGCGTTTCCTGCCTACCTCCCTCCTGCTGTGCCTTTAGATGCTGAAAACGTGCTCCACACGCGAATTCCCACTTACCCTTCCCCCACCCCGTTTCTTGGCATTCCCTCATATCTTTATCCTTTTAACTTTTTACTGAAGAATAATATCCCTCAACAAAGAACAAGGGCACAGCTGAGTACTAAAGGGCATTTGGGTGTGCAGGGCACAGGCTCGCAGGTGGCTCTCCCAGGTGGCTCTTGCAGCCTCGTGGTGTGAGCTCCTGTTTATTTGAGGAGATGGCAGAGGGGCTGGCGTGTTCTGAGGAGGGACGTGGCAGTGCCAGGAGCCCAGCTCCTGTGTAGATTCCATGGGCGTGCAGGGCAGGGGAAGCGAGGGGTTGGTGAGCCAGGTCTGCCTTCCCCTCCGGGTGCACGGGGTTTGCTGAGCCGTGTGACGCCGGGGGCAGGTGTGCGTGAGCAAGTATTGCAAAAGCGGGAGATCTGAGGGAAGAGGGACGGTGAGGTCATCCCTACCCCAGGTGTGCCCTGGGAGAATCACGTCGGACGGCGGGGAGCCGGCTGATGGGGCCGCAGTGAGTCGATGTGCCTCCGAGAAGAGCTGGCAGCGGGAGTGGGAAGGGATGAGTAGCGAGGTGGCCGCAAGGGCCCTGGAATGAGGGAGCGGCTCTGCGGCCTCCTCCGCGGCTGCTGCGCCCGGGGCTGGCCCCCGAGCCGTCCCCACCTCCCGGTTCACTCATCCTACCCCACCCTGGGCTGGAAGCCACGCCTCCCTGCCTCGTTTTCAGGGGGTACACGAGGCGCCGCCCCAGGCCCTGAGAGCTGGGGAAGGCAGCCGTGCGCTCGCTCCCAGGTACCGTGCTCCCCGGCCCGGCCGTGCGGAACGCCTTCTTGCCAGGCCGTCCCGGACCCTTTCCCGCCCTGGCGCTCGGCCCTCCGCGCACCCCCACGTCGTCCCGACGGCGCTGCACCGCCCAGACCCGGTCGCACACTAGCGCCTTTGTCCGTTTATCTTCCTTTCTTGTCTCCTTTGCTGCTCTGCGCCGCAGGAGCTGGGGAGAGGCAGGGAGCAGGCTGCCCTGCGCAGCGAGGCGAGGGGCTTCAAATCGTCTCTCTCCCCGTGCCCCCCCGAGGGCAGGGAACCCCCACGTGCCGTACCGAGTGCTGCCCAGCTGTCCAGACGCGACTGACGGCAGCAGGCGCGGCTGCAGGCCTGGGTGGGGCGCCCGCAGCTGAGCCGCCCGGCCCCGCCCCCACCAGCCCAAACCCGAGGGTCTTGGGAAGGGAAGTGGCGCCTCTCTTGCTGTAATCTCTTCTTTCTATTTTATTAGTTGAGTCTTGACACTTGAAAGTACCAAAAACTTGAAATGTCCAATAATGTTTTTCAAATGGAACACCAAACAAAACCCATTGTCCAATGAGCTCCCAACCAATCAGAGAGCAGAGCCCTGGGTCAGGGGCCCGGCCCAAGTCCTGCCTAGCCAACCAGCGGCTGCTGACCCTGGGCCTGCCATCACCCACCTTCCTCGGCCTCGGTTTCCACACGTGTAAATGCACAGTGGTGGATGCTATTGCACCAAGTGACCTCTGGTTTTCAACATTACAAAGTGGAGTCCCAGAAACGTTACTGGGAACAAATGTCATAAAACTACAAAAAAAAAAAAGTGCAACTACTCTAAATTTTTAAAATGCAAGTGTTTTATTTTCAAAGGTGACTCAGAAAATGGGGTTGTCTCAAAGGGGAGGGATATTTTCTTGGGCTCTGAAAGGGGTCAATACTGGTATGGCTTTAAGCTCAGTATTTATTATTTCAGATAGAACTGGAAACTCGCTTCTTCCCTGTGAGCACTGGAGGGAATTAGTCACCCTTCCTAGTGAAAGTGGAGAAGACATTCTCTGAGCTACTCAAAAGGCTCTTTCAAAAAGTTCTGGGGACAAGCACTGCAGTGTGCATGTGAGAGAGAGAGAGAGAGAGAGAGGAGAGAGAGAGAGATTGGAGGGGGAAAACATGTGCGGATGGGGTGGGGGCAAGAAAATGATTAAGATACAGTGACTTGCAGGCTTTGCTGTCCAGTGGAAGGGTCTAACACTGTAACAAATACAACCACACACAGAGTAGAATGGGGATATAAGCAAAGGGTCCTGGGAACAGTGATAGAAAGAGTGGTTAATTCTGGCTGGAAGGACCCATGGAAGACTTCCTGGAGGAGGTGGCACTTGGCATGTGAGTTTTCCCTTGTGGGTGGGCTGGGTATGTGTGCATAAATAGACTGGAGAGGGCATCTGGGCAGAAGAAAGCACAGTGCAGACCCACAGCCGCTCTCTCTCGCTAAGCCTTGGGGATCCTGGCCTAGGCCTTCCTCATGCCAGTTTCTCCCCAGTTGGGGCAAGATGTGCTGCAGACCTGTGCCCAGTGTTCAGCTGGGGTTCTTGCTCCTCTGCTGCGGTGACCCGGGAGAAGTGTCAGCAGGCAGCAGGTCGTGGTGGGATGGCTTTCACTTCACTTAGCACAAACTTTTCTTAGAACCACAGTTGGTTCTTGCAAAACTTTCTGGTCACAGAAAGGCCAAGAAGTCAGATTTGGAAAAGCTTTACACAGCAGAAAAGGAGGTTGTTGTATCACTGATGAGACTCTTTTCATCTCTATGTCCCTGTACCACTGGAATGGGAGGGAAGGTGGGCCCCACGGTAGGCCTGTGAGTAAGGCATTATCCTTGGGTGGATAAACACTCTTCACCAAACCCTGAATACTCTACCATTCGTCCCTCCCTCATCCTTCATCCACTGCCAGTGTCTTTCTGGCCAGCTGCAGTGTTAGGAGTTTTGAAGGACAGGCAGGGAGAGGGTGATGATTCCAAGGGTGAATAAAGTGAATTCTCTGCCTTTCAAAGTTGCAAATGAATGATTATGGCATGAAGTAAGGCAGCTACAAGGAGAATTTAAGCATTCTTTGTCTTGATGTGGAGGATAAGTAGCTTCCCACAGAGATGGGCAAGTAGGATGTCAGAAAAAACAAAGAAGCAGGAGTCCCAGTCCTAGTGTGCTGCTGTCACTAAGTGTCCCGCCGCCCCCGCACCTCTGCTGCACAGGGAGAATCATTTAAGAGGACAGAGTTCTGCGACGGAAATGTATCATCATCTTATACAATGTGATGTCCGCTCATGTCCCTGGAGCCTCACACAGTACTGGGCACATGATGCAAACCTGGTCAGTGTGTAGTGACATGAAAGCAAAGTGCGAATCCTGTGACGGGTCGGACAGCTATGTTCTGCCAGGTAGAAAAGGGCCTGCAGTCTTACCTTGACTATCCTCAGAGCAGAGACTCCACATCTACTGCTCCTGGGGGTGTGAGGTCTTATTTTTCTTGTAAAAGAAGAGGTGTTAAATACATCCTCACTGTAATGTTTGTGAGTGTTCATAAGCCTGTAATGTATAGAACGGAACACATTTTTAAAAATCAGGCATAGTTACCAGGATTTCAGGGGCTGTTTATTGGGTAGGGAGAAGGGCCTTTGTACATTATTTTTTCCAACTGTTCTCAGTTACTTTGGTTTTTCTTCTCGACATCCCTGTGTCATCTCTAGAGGCTTCAGGCCTGCACACAGTGAGAAGGAAAGCAGGCAGGACAGGATGCAGAAGAGAGCAGAGATGCGGAGGCCAGGAGCTGGGGGGGCTGGGGCTGGGCAGGGAGGAAGCTAGGCTCACGGGGGTTGCATCCTGGAGACTAACAGGAAGGTGTTGAAACCTGCTAGAAAATGTGCGCTTGAGGTGTGTATGAAGTGCCCTTTGCATTTCATGCCTAATCTTCATTTTACCCCCTCTGGAAATGAACCCCTTAGGGGACACTGTGGAGCCTTTCAGGCCAGATGTGCCCCCCAGATGATGGCATCTGGGGGGACCTTCTGGTACTGGTGATAAAGCGGGTGAATCCTAGAACCTGCCTGCCTGGGAAAAATCCTGCCTTTCCATTCAACCGCTGTTTGACCTTGGAAGTGGATTTAACTTCTCAGTGCTTTAGTGTGCTCACCTGCAAAAGGCTCAGGAAGACCACCGGTCCCATAGTGATGCTCTGAGGTCCCCACATGATGCAGCGGCACGTACAGACTTGAGAATTGTTTCCGATGCCACACTATAGGGCGCCTGTTGACATTGAGGATCACTGCTGTTCTATTTCACCGGAATCTCATTTTCCCCAGGGACATTGCAAAACACATTCTGTGGCTTTGGTCTGATTTCTGGCTATAAAAGACTAGGTAAGATTGCTTGTGTTCCTGTCAGTTAGGATGTCTTTAGCTGCAAGTAATAAAAAGTAGCTTCTCTCACAAGAATGTTTATTCTGAGTTACAGGAAGTCCAGTGGCCCATGTTCCATCCAGGCATTTTTGTATCTCCCAGTCTCTTTACCTGATGTTGAGTCACGTAGGTGGTCATTAGCCAGCCTACTGAGGTTGAGCAGAGAACAAAGAGACGGTCAAAGCCAAACAGGTCCATTTATGTGTGGCCATTAAGGAGACAAACCACATTTTTTAAACCAAGAAACATACCAGGTTGTATGTTTCCACAGGAGCATTGTTCCCTGAGGGGGCACTTTTTCCAGTGTGCTGTGTTGCTCAAATGTTTTCAAACTCTTCTACCAGAATCTTCCCAAGAGATTATGAATCACACATAAATAACATTAATATTAATATTGATTTTATACTGAGACCCCTTTTGGATCCCAAATAGGTCTCCCATTGGACTTATTCATTCATGAGATTCTCAATTGGGCAAATATTTTGAGTGTCCACTGTATGCAAGCAAGAAAGGAAATTGCCATTTTTATTAGGGACAGAGAGACTTTGCCTGGGTGATCTTGCTTGCCTCATGTTGCTCTGAGCAGTTGAAACTGTCCTCTCTTGTTTAAAGAGGTTCAAATGGAGGTTCATACCAGATAGGTGACATCTCCCAAATCACACAGAACAGAGCCATGCTTTCTATCCTGTGTTCTGTGACTCCATCTTTACCATACTCATTCCACAGGCATGGTGTTTCCCCCTCAAGGGTTTATAATTAGTGGGGTATATAAGAAATACACGAAATATCACATGATGATATGGAACATATAAGTGTCCTAAGAATTTGTAACTTTTTAAATAAAGGGATTCAGAATCAGGAAAGATGCATTTTAGCTAAGAGCACCTCATGGAGGTAGGTTGGAAAGGGGGGCACAGAAGTGGGCAGGGTAGGAAGGAGCCTTGCCTGGAATGCACGGTGGGTATGAGCCAGGGCAGTGGCTAAGGGCTGGGAACTCAGGTTGGAGCTGGTTTGTAGAAGTCAAAGACTTTCTATTTTATTTCATAATCATTGCAAGCTCTTGAAATCTTCAAGGAGGAAATAATACATTAAACAACATTTTAGAGAGATTAACTTGACAGTGATGTCAAGACAGACAAGGAAGAAATCGTGAAAGTAGAGACCATTTAGGAAGCTATTAAAATAGCCAAGACATAGCATAATGTTTCCAAGTCATTTGGATTTCATGAACCAGCCAAGTTTCCCCTTAAATTGAAGGGACTGACCTAGACATCTTAACTTTTTTTATTTTTTATTTTTGTTTAAGTCACAAACAATAACCATTGAAACCACTGTCATTTCATAAATGAAAAGATATGTTATCCCATAAGCAG